GTGGGATGGGAGGGTGTGTGGAAGGAATGGAAGGAGGGGAGGGAGTGGAAATTTGGATTGGTATTTTAAAAAAAAAAATTCTAAAAAAAAGTGAAGTGGCTTCAGTAACAGCAAGTCGAACTGATTGAGCCGACAACAAAAGGACTCTGCTGATCTCTGTACTATCATTCTCTGTACCTTCATTCACAAAACTCTCCCCTCCCTCCCCTCCCTCTCCCTCTCCCCCTCTCCCCTCCCCTCCCTCTCCCTCTCCCCCTCTCCCCTCCCTCCCTCTCTCCCTCTCCCCGCCCCCCCCCATGTCTCTTCCAGTACTAAGCCCTCTGGACCAGGCCCCTCTAAGGTGCTCACATAGTCTTGAAGGAGACACAGCCAGCACAGAGGAGTGCAAACTCTCTCCTGCTTAGGATCTGAGGCCCACACCCTTCTGACTACTCAGCCTGATGAACCAACGAGGGAGGCCAAGCCACAGACAGGACTTGCCACCCTGTACACTGTCTCAACTACCACACACCAACTACTAACAACTCATTTGGCCCTTTTTCCTTTCCAAAGGTCTCTGCCCTTGTTTGATTCTGATTCCGGAGCAGACATGCCCAGAAAAGTGGAGAGTGGGAGGTGACAGTGACTCTAAGGTCCAGGGCTGGAACTCAGATGAGTTGCTACTCACTGACAACTAAGCAAACACAGAATGGTTCCTGGAGAAACCCTGCCCGCACTAATGCCCTGGTGCTGCCTAAGTTACTTAAAGCAAGGTACTAGAGTGTAGATGTGGTCTATACCACAAAGGTCCATGGGAAAGTAAGATTAGTCCCTGGGTAACAGAACAGGAAGTGATGCAATCTTAAGGGGTGGGGACTGGTGGAAGGTCTGTGGGTCACATAGAGAACTTGGGAGATTCTGCCATGATGTGACATAGCCCAGAGACTTATCAGAACTGGGTAGTATATGCCCTTGAGCCTCCAAAACTGCAAACTAAATAAATTCTTCTACCTTGTAAATTAGCCTATCTCCAGTATTTCCTTACAGTGACCAAAGCTGACTAATACACCAGGTCAAGGGATGTACATATGCCAAGAGCAAAAACCAGGTCCTGGGTCTTGAGAGTGTCTGACACACGCTTTCTCACACTGTTATCTGCAAACATCTGTTAGCATGGGACAGAGACCTAGGAACCACAACTACCCCAAGTAAGCAAGCAGTTCATATGGTGGCAGAGTCAGAGCCACTGTAGTCCCTAAGGACATATGCACATATGCACAGACATGGCTCTGGGGTCTGAACAAGAGGAAGGAGAACAAAGGAAACCAGGCCCAACTCTGGGGCAGCACACACCTCCAGCAGGCGTGAGATGGCGTCAGGCTGGACTCGAGGGCGGCTGTCATAGCACGGCCATACCACACGGCGCCTGCTCTGAGGAGCACCTCCATCAGGCCGGTCCTCTTCTGGAGGCTCAGGGGGCCCCTGGGCCAGCTCCCAGTCATACGGGGGGCCCTCAGCCAGCGTCTCCTCAGTGTAGAAATCCCACACTTTCAGATTGGACACGTTGCTGTAGGGTCGCAGCACCTGGGAGCAAGCCTTATGTTCAGAAGCTGGGCCATGCAGGAGCTGCTGCCCCAGCCAGGCCCCCATTCACCTCTGTGTCCTCAGGTGCATATGTGTAGTTGTAGAACATGGGAGTCCTCTTGCTCAACCGGTCCACATACTCCCACACAGATCTGCATGCCAGCTGGCCCCTGCGTTCACCTTTCTCCTCATACAGCAGCCCTGCACAAGAGCAGCACTGAGTTTAAGCCCCTCTGAGCCAGGGTTGCCCCAGATTTCCTTCTTCCTACATACCCAGCTCAATACGCTCATAGTCAGAGTCCAGCAAGAAGGTCCGAAAACGGCGGGATGCATGGTGGTAACCGAGGAACTTGAGGTAGAACTGACTGAACTCAAACTCCATGGGGAACTGCAAATGGACCTGTATGAAGCAGTGGGTCAGAGGTCAGGTCAGGGAAGCACTGCTCAAGCCTACCCACATGGGAACCTGCCTACCTCAAGCCTCCCTACCCACCTGGTGTACACAGTCTAGGAACTGCAGGAAGACAGGTGTGAAGCCACTGCTCTGCCCAGCTAGGGTGTGGGCCCCACGGTGGCTGAAACGATGACCAAAGGACAGCCACTCCTTTTCCACCAGCAGGCGGAAGCCCTCCAGGGTGCGATAGAAGGGGTCTGAGAGCAACTGCACCAAGGACACCACCTGCGAGCACCACCAGATATCAGAAGGACATCTGAGGACCCCCCCACCCCTTCCCGGCATCTGCCACCTACCTGAGTGGTGATGTCCCAGCCATCCTCCAGGCTCACCAGAACAGAGGAGCCTGAGTCTAGCAATTCCACTACCAGCACCGATATCTGCAGCAGCTTGTGTATCTGCAGGGACAAACAACCAACCTTTGGACACTACAGCCAATCAGGCACCAGAGGCTCACAATTCACAGAACCCTTGTAAGGCCAGTAGTACCTACAGTACTGGATAGACATGACCTGCTCTGCTCGTCTCGGCTCATGCTTGCATCGTTCCCCCAGCCTGCCCACCCCTCCCAGAACCCCAGTGACAAGGAAGACAGATTCACAAGTCCCTGTCCTTGCTGGGTATGGTAGAAGATGCCTATAATCCCAGCACCTACGAGGACTGATTGCCACAGTTCTAGGTCAGCCAATGCTACATGAGAGTAAGTCCCTGCCCTTCAGGTGCCCAGAAGTCCCATCCCTCAGTGCTCTAGTTGTCACAGGGCACCAGTGACACGACACCCATTTCCATTCTCTAAAAAGGACAAAGCAGCAGAGAGCCCTGTCCCACAATGGACATCAAACCCCCCTGAACAGGTCCTTGGACTTCCCACAGGGCAGGGAACCCTGATTGCTCTTTGGGCTGACGAGGG